GTCCTCCTCCTAGTCCCCCTCCGCCCCTCCCTCTGTTTCTACGGTGCGAGGACGCATCTTCCGGGAGGGGGGAGTAATGTAACGCCCCTGTGGACTGTTTATTGTGGTTTCTTCCCCTTTTGTTGGTTTAGCCCGTACTAATCATTAGTTAATTACCCTCATTGTGCTCACCTGTCTGCCACTAATTATCCTCCCTATATTAGTTCCTGTCTGTCTGAGCTTGAGTTGTCGGTTATTGTCGGTGAATGTTACCCCGAGTGTGTGTGTCTCCCCTACCTGGATCTGCCTTGTTGTGTCTACATTAAAAGCCATTATTGGAATCTTTGTCGTCCTCGTCATCCTGCCTGCCTCCACACACTGTGTCGTGACACATAGAGTGTCTGAACAGTTTGTCAAGCCAGTGATTATTTTTGATGTTAAGTAGACCAGTAACACAAGGATTATGTCTCGTTTAATTTTTGAGTGTATCTCAGTTGCGTGAACTCACCTGCCATGGTTTCTAGAGTGTTCCTCCTGTCAGCGTGTCCGGGTTTAGTCCAGCATGTCTGATCAGATTAAAACTCACAATCCCAGTAATAAGAACTTGTGTTACTGGACGACAGTCATTTTCTTCTTTTGTGCCTCTTTCCATCTCTCTTTCGTTCTCTATATATGTGCATAGATGCAAATACCTTCATGTTTTGCTCTGTATCATCTTCACATCCATTGCCTCATACCCACACACAAATAAAAACACACTCTCATTGTCAAGAATCACTCTCTGACTCGCTCTCTCTCTCTCTTTCTCACACACACACACACACACACACACGCATGCACGCACACACACAAACACACAGTGTTCTGTTGAACTTGAACTGCTCTGACATCGCTGAGTGTCCGCAGGCAGAGAACTGGCAGAGCATGCCCTAACATTTCTCTCATTTCCCTCACACACACACACACACACACACACACACACACACATGCCTGAAGCTCCTTCACCAGCTCACGCAGTGTTGCTCACATGCACACTGCCTTCAGAAAGCACTGACCTCCTTTGCATTTCCAAATGTTAGGCTGTGTGCACTTTCCTTAAGAAGCTATCACACCCTTCAGTGTTTCTGGGTACGTTTATGTTCACTCACTGTTTTAGACTGAAGAACAGACAACAGTTTGATGATGTTTATTTTCTATGATGTTAATTTAAGTCTGGACTCGTTTTTGCTGTGTGCTCTGGGCCTAAAATGCTCAAATGTAGTGTCATCATGCTGGACACTACATGTTAAGTTTTCTATGCTCTTTAAGTAGGTTAACCAGAAAATCAACCACAAAAAGACCATGCTGGTCCACCAGATAAGCTAGAACCAAGCCGACACCGGCCAGCACTAATCAGTCTGGACCAGCATAGAACATCACAGCAGCAGGGCAAACTACAGCAGAAGAGACTTTCTTCTAATTACTTTCCTAAAGAGAATTAGCTGATATCTGGACAGTTTCTTCAATTTTCCTTGAAATTCTGTCATTTTTGTGTTTGTTGTGTCATTTCTTGTGTCATTTGTGTCTCGTTGCTCAGTATGGCCTGGTCTTAGCAGTGTTTCTAATGTGTCTCAGCCAAGGGTTCCTCAACTGCCCCCAAGAAGACGGGGAATAAACCAGTGCTATACACTCACTTGGTCCTATGATTTCTGCTGTTTGTTTGTCATTCCTTAGCTTTTTAATTGTTCTCTAACACTAAAAGCAAAGCTTTTATTGGTGTGCCATTTTTAATGTTCTTTAAGTTGCTGTAATTTACAGATGATTGTTATTGATTGTTATTTTATTCATGCTCCTTTGTAGAACTCCCTCCCATTTTTTTTTTTTTTTATAAAAAAATTTATCACGAATCCGGTCCGTGGTCTTCCGTCAGAGGTCGCCTTCTGATTACATTGACTCTCACACCACACAAACTGTTGCACGTCACCCTGGACTACATTTCCCATGCTCCATTGCACTGATTGGACTCACCTGCAGCCAATCACACACACACACTATAAAACAACCACTCAAATCCTTCTCTAATCGCCGAGTATTGTCTGCATTTATCACTCTCCTAGTGATAGCAACTTTACGGAGCCATTCCGTGTTTCCTGAGTTCAAGTCTAGTCTATCCTGTTTATTACCTGTTTTACCTGAGTCTTGATTCTAGCCCGGTTTACCTCGTCCTGTCTGATTTCTGCCTGCCCTGTAGCTTATTGCCTGTCTTGGATTAACCCTTTGCCTGCTGTTTCGGATTGTGTTTGCACCTCGCATGGACTATCTTCTGTTTCTGGATTCCCCGTTCGCATCGCCTTCAGGATTAAGTTTGCAGTCGATCAACCCACGCCTGTTTTAGGATCACTCTTGTGTCTTGTCTGTACCATACCTGTTTGCTGGTGTTCGACCTTGCCTGTGTTTTGACCATGTCTGAATAAAGCTATGCGTATGGATCCGCACTTCTCTCGTCTCAGTCGCCCCGTTACACTGACCTTTCCATTACTTTTCTGTCCAATTTTTGGAATATTAGCAGACAGTTTCTGGCAACATACAGTAAACTACACTTGATAGGCCTGATATGACCGCTCATGTATTTTTAGATATTACTCTGTTGGCAGATCTGAGATCATTTGTGCTATTAGTGTTACATTGACATTTGCATTAGTAGTGCAAGTTGTGGAAATTGGGGGAAATTATTATTTTATAATGCTTCTTTTATAATGTCATATATGTTTATAACCAGTCATAATTTTTTATGTTTGTTATCCTCTAGTTTAAACAACTTTTCTTTTTTCTCTCGTCACAACGAACTGTAGACACAATTTAAATATGATAAAATTATTTTCATTACGCTGTGTTGACAGTTTCAATGATAATAACTGGAATTTTGGTGAAAGCAGGGTTATTTTAGTTATCAGTTTTAGTTATTTTAGTACATCAAGGTAAACTAAATGAAAATGAGAAATGTTGCCTTGGAAAAATTTGAAATTGTACTGTTATATTATTATATATGTTGTATTACTATTTTTTTTATGGTTTTAGTTTTAGTTTTAGTTAACTATATTAACCATTCGTGAAAGAGCAGAACTCTTGCTGAACTGAAGTGATTGACAGCTCATATAAAAGGAGCGTTCTTTTGCCAAAACATTTTGATTTGAGAATGGCTGACTACACGAGTCATTACATATTAAAACAATCTTTTATCACAGATCAGGCTATAGAATTAACAATGTTGCGGTAGTATGGTTGTTTTCATCTTTTAACTAAAAGTGTGTTTGCAAAGCTTGTTTACAGTCGTGACATACCTACAAATAGTTATGCCCTATGATCAGCCACTTAGTTGGCCAATTCCCAAAATGTTAAAACCCATGAAACAATTACAAAATAAAAGACATGGAAAACATGAACATGAAACAAAACACCACATTACACCCAGAGAGTATGCAGAGACTTCTTCTTCCACATCTAAGAACTCCTCGCTGGTCATGGCATGGCAAGTTCATAGCTGGCTATAGGGATCTGTGCTGGGTATTTGTCTGGTTTCTAAAGTCATTACCCCATTCACACACTTTTCTTGTTAAATATTTTAATTTATTTATGTATTTATTTACCTACTTATGCCCATGTGCAGAGACAGTTATTATGACTTATATAACTTTTAAGTTATCCATTGGTAGGTTGATTACATGCGGCGCTTGCTTTTAAAACACGGCTCTGTTTGTTTGCGTGGCCCACCAAGCTCAGCTGTTATCTAGAGAAAGCTATCTGTTGACATTCCCATTCATCTCAGTGGCAGTTGCCAAGACTGGCACAGGACCGCAGAAGTACGCAATTAGTAATCTCAGTTCTGGATACAGTTGTTTTTAAGTCAGTGACCTGAGTTGTAAATAACACTTTTATCAAATGCTTCCTACATATAGCTGGCAAGGTTTCATAAAATAAACACAGCAGCAAACATTTAATAATTTATTGATAACAAATAATAATCCTTCCACCAAGCAGTGTAATTCTTCAGCAATGTTTACCAGACTTGGCGGTCACACATTAAAGGGATAGTTCAGCCAAAAATGAAAATTCTGTCATTAATTACTCACCCCCATGTCGTTTCAAACCCGTAAGACCTTCGTTCATCTTCAGAACACAAATTAAGATATTTTTGATGGAATCTGAGAGCTGTCTGACCCTGCATAGACAGCAACGCAACTGAAATGTTCCCAAGTCCAGAGACGTAGCAAGGAGATCGGTAAAATAATCCATGTGACATCAGTGGTTCAACCGCAATTATACGAAGCTACGATAATACTTTTTGTGCGCAAAAGAAAAAAAAACGACAATTCTATTAAATAATGACTTTATTCAACAATTAGAAAAAAAGAAAACAACGAAACACTATGTGGGTAAAGTGAACAGAAAAGAAAAAGGTCAAACCGAGTTCACAATATTTACGCAAAAAGTCACTATACAGAGTTTATCTTTCTTTTCTTAACAACAATCACAATTTCAGCCAGCAACACCATCTACAACATCCCACACCCAGATCAGCCTCGCTGCATTTTTGAAAGATGCGCAGTTCCAGCCTCGACCAACCACGGGGCACATACCGGCGTGTTCAATTAGGGCGGGGCCATCTGTAAGAAAGTGTGAGAAATCTGTGAGAAAGACAGAGAGAGAGAAAGAGCAAGATAAAGAGAGAGAGAGAGATGCATAGACACCACATATCTTATATAACATATCAATGTAACAATAGACTTCTATTGTTTTATATACAGATAATTACACATTTTATAAACTAACCCTAACCGACACCCTAAACCTTCCCATCATAGAAAACTTTCTGTATTTTTACATTTCTAAAAAAAAAAACTTTTTTTTCTCACTACAAATGTGACCCCGAAATATGGATAAGTAGGTATACACACACACACACACACACACACACACAACCAAGTCAATGTAAAGTCAAACATAAGGGTTATGGGATGTGATTTTGAAACTGTGCAAAGGTAAGTCAGTCAGAAATACATATTTTAGTGGGATGTTTGAGGAATGTGGCACAGTGCAAATGTGAATAATGTATTTATTTTTTAATTTTTTTAATGTTTTTGTTTGTTTGTTTTTGCTTGGGGTGTACAATTAGACCACAAAGGCCTCAATATTTTTTATTTAAAAACAGGGTCTGTTCCAGTGTGTTGGGGTTCAGTTGATTCCTTTTTTTAATTTTATTTTTTTTACTGATTACTTCTCCAGCCTTGGAGAATACTCTCTCACATGGGACAGAGGATGCAGGTGTACACAAGTAGTGTTTAGCCAGGTCATGGAGGTGTGGATAGACCATATTCTGTTTAGACCAGTACTCAAGTGGATTAACACAACGTGGCAGAATGGGGTCCCCAAGATACTTCTGTACTTCCACTGTAGCGTCTGCAGTGGCACTGTTGGTACACTGTGGAACACTCAAATGTCTATCTAGTGTTTTCCATAGGTCTACCACCACAGTGTTTGATGATGAGCTTGTGGGTGCTGCTGAAGACCTTGCTGGTGCTGCTGAGGTTCCTGGTGTTGGTTGAGTCTGTGGTGCTGGTGTTCGTGGTTGCCTCTCAGGTCTAGAGGCCTTGATGATTGCTGCACAATGTGAAATTAGATTTTTCATTGCAGTCTGGGCACGGGTCTCATTACTAAAAACAACCATTTTAAAACATGGGTCTAAAAGTGTTGCCAGAGCAAGGCAGCCCTTTTGCTCATGAGTGGCAAACCCCTCATTCAGTTGTTTGAGCAGGTTTGCAGTCAGTCGTGAGCCCATATCTGATGTCAATTGGGTACACATCTCTCAAATTGATATTGGGATAACCTTGGATGCTGACACTCTTTTCTCCTCTGACATTTCCACTGTGGCTTGGTGGAAAGGGCCAAGAATCCCAAGGCACTGATTCATAGAATCATACTCCTCAGCTGTGAATGGTGACAGCTCTGATTTTAGAGTGGGGAGGACTGCTCCTACAGGCTGTCACTGCTCATACAGCCGCTGAAGGTGCTGTTCCATCTAGTTTCCATTTCCTGAATGAGCTTATGTTGACGCCTACCCATCTGGTGCTGGAACTGTGACAGCCTGTTCATGGCTGTGGTGCTGGATCTGAAGTGACCCACAATCTTGCGCCCTCGGGTACGGAGGTCTTCTAACTCAGGTGTTGAATCAATGGCCTTCTTCACCACCAAGTTGAGACCATGGGCAAAGCAGTGTGCATGGCGGATTTTTAAAGTCTCAACACAAGCCACCATGTTTGCTGCACCATCAGTAACCATGCAGCTCACTTTTCCAGTGATACCCCATTCCCCATCAGAGTGGCTTTTGTCTCTGCGATGCGAGCTGCTGTGTGGGTCTTGTGGAACTTGGCCTGAGACTGGAATCCGGAAAGCACCAGCTAGCTCTACTGTAACAAAGTTCATTGATACCAGGAAGTTCAGCAGCCTGACAAAGCTGGTCAGAGTCATTGCCTGGTTCACAAGTTCGCACTTACATAATAATTGGATTGAGCAAATAGTAAGCATATTTGGCATGCTGTCCTGAGGGAGGGCTCTCAGCTCGGAATATAGCCCAAACCAAGAGAACTCCCCCAATCCCTAGTATGGGATGATAATAGATTAATAGTGAGCAGTTGGGGTGGAGGAGGGATGCTGGAAAACTGTTGGGGGACAGAGGTAAGTTGGCTGGACTCAGAATTTTCAGATTCGAGTCCTTTTAAAACCTGAATGAATTAATAATAATTAATTCCCTTAAAATTAAGTAATCAAAGTCATTACACTGCGACCAAAGGGAGCTGTGGCTCTGCTGCAACAGAAGGGAGAGCCCCATCCGCCGCCGAATAATCAATGCAATTCGATATGACGGTTGAATTGGAGACGGGAGGTTGAACATGTAGATGTAGTGGCCTTTTCTTTCTTGGTCTGTCTCACTTTGTTTAATAAAGTAAGAGATAGATTTGCTGTCGAGTGCAGATAAATCGGAGATGGTTGGAAGGAGTTTGGGGTTGAATTTGGAGGTCTATTGTGAGTTCTGAGCATCTCAAGAAACCGAAAAAGCCTATATAAACATGGCGTTGAGGGTACGAGCGGTATGGAGTGAATGGTACCCTGTGCAGAAACTGTGGATGCCTTTTGTAAGGATGTCCAAAGTTATAGGTTGTCTGGCATCTGGGCATGATGTTTGGGAGCGCTGAATTCCTTTAATTAGGAGAGAGGTTTGAGAATTATTTATTTCAGGGAGGGAGCCATAGATTAATTTGTGAAAAATTGGATGCCGATTAAATAACCTTTATTAGACCCAGCTTGGACGTTCCTTAGGGAATTAAGGTAGGATACGAATGAAGTTATTGAGAGGAGAAAATTAATTCTTTAAAAATCCTACAATGTGATTTTCTGGATTTTTTTTTCTCATTTTGTCTCTCATAGTTGAGGTATACCTATGATGAAAATTACAGGCCTCTCTCATCTTTTTAAGTGGGAGAACTTGCACAATTGGTGGCTGACTAAATACTTTTTTGCCCCACTGTATATATACGTATTGTGCTAGTTAAGCTGATTAACTGAACAAGTTCCACCTGTGCCAACTTGGTTGATTATCTGATTGTGCTCCTCCCGAACCTTGTTAATAAAACATAATTTCACGAGTTCGCACTTACATATAATTGGATTGAGCAAATAGTAAGCATATTTGGCGTACTGTCCTGAGGGAGGGCTCCTAACTCGGAATATAGCCCGAACCCAGAGAACTCCCCCAAAAGAAGCTAAATAGGCATGGGACAGCAGCCTGAGAGTAAAATTTTGTTAGTAGCCTCCCAAAAAAATGCGTGCCATGAAGAGAGATGGGTTAGAGTTTGCGAGAAGGAGGCAGGGTGACCGGGAGAGCTTGACAGGAGCTGCAGCTCGCAGTGTCCAACGACCGAACCCTACCTGCCGCTGGATGAGGAGCACGATATAAGACATCAAATAGGGGACTCTCGCTGAGTCCGAAAGGAGCTGCGGCTCTGCTGCACTGAAAGGGAGAGTCCCCTTTGCAGCTGAATAAGCAATGAGATTCTAAACAACTGATGTAGGGCTCTCACTGCGAACGAAAGGGAGCTGTGGCTCTGCTGCACTGGAAGGGAAAGCCCCGTCCGATGGTGAATAAGCAATGAGATTCTAATCAACTGATGGAGGGCTCTCACTGCGACCGAAGGGAGCTGTGGCTCTGCTGCACTGGAAGGGAGAGCCCCGTCCGATGCTGAATAAGCCATGAGAATCGAAACGACTGATAGAGGGCTCTCACTGCGACCGAAGGGAGCCAACACTCTGCTTCATAGGAAGGGAGATCCCTGTCCAATGCTGAATACGCAATGAGATTCAAAACTACTGAAGGAGGGCTCTAACTAGGGAATTAAGGTAGGATACGAATGAAGTTATTGAGAGGAGAAAATAATCAGGAAATGGCAGGTTATAGGAGAGGTGGGAATGCTTTGAAACGTCTCCAACCTGATGGATAAGAATGGAGGGTTCTGGGTGAAACTGCTTAGGGGATGGAATTGAGTGAAGCGTCGAGAAGGGGTTTTAAGGGATAGGTTATGGGAATATGAGTTGCAAATAGTGAGGTACTGGGGTTGGCGATGCCTTTGGGGAGCCCCACCTGTCGCTGAATAAGCGGCACGCCTCGAAACTACAGATGGAGGGTCCACACTGTGACCGACGGGAGCAGTGGCTCACTGCATCGGAATGGAGAGCTCCCCATTTGCCGCTGGGCGATGGGAATTCTGAGATCAGAAATCTTTTTTGAAAGCAGGTGAATGAAGTGGGAGGCGAGACGATTCGAAAGTCACAGAGCAGGTGAATGAGGTGGGAAAATTGCAACAAGTTCAACAAATCGAACAAACTGCTTCTGATAATGTGTCAAAAAATTATTGGGGCTGATTTGCATCCCAAAATTTAAGCGTACAGCGAAAGTACAATTTCCTGTCAACACTTTTAATACTTGCTATTACATATGTATTTTAGGTAATTTTAAAGGCTTGATTAGGTCTATTTTTATTACCATAAAAATACATTATAATTATATTATCTCTCGAGGAGAGTCGGGTCTTGTGCAGGACAATGGTGCTGTCGAGCGAGGCGAGTTCGGGGCCTTGCAAGCTTTGCCCTATCTATTGGGCGCCTTGGGGGCTGGAGTGGATTTAGGAGTGAGGTTGGCTGATTTGCAGGTTGATTTACGTATTGTGCTAGTTGAGCTGATTAACTGAACGAGTTCCACCTGTGCCGAATTGGTTGATTATCTGATCGTGCTCCTCCCAAACCTTGTTAATAAAACATCAAATATGGAGAGCTGCAATGAAATGGAAGATGGTATTGAAAAAGTATTTATCCTCAAGTAAGTCAAAGTGGGAGGAATTTCCTTCCCTGGAGTCAAACTTGCTGTACTCACTGTTGGAGAATGTGAAGACGCATTGAGAAATCTCTTCCTTGAGACTCAAGAGGGCACAACCTTCCAAGACATCACTCTCAACAGACTTGCAGTGTTTAGAGATGAAGACACAGGACTCTTAGATTTGGTTCCAAATCTTCAATAAGGAAAAGACGGCAGTACCCATTCTACCACATGAAGCATGGATATCCACACTTCTAGCTCAAGAAGCCCACAGTGCAAACTTGCTCAAGGATGAGGTTTCCAAACTTGGAACAGAATGGTGTTGGAAAATCCATCCAGCAGACTCGCCCCACAGGAACGGACCTGCAGAAGCAGCTGTTCGCACTGTGAAACGGGCCTTGCATAACCTGGGAGGAGATGGAGTCTTCACATGGAGTGAGTTCCAAACATTTCTATACATGGCTGCCAACCTCGCTAATGAAAGACCCATAGATGCCAGAACTCCGAGCCGGGAAGAGTGTGTGGATGCGGACCTAAAGGAGATCAGGGGAGCTTTAAGTTTGAAGGTTATCTCTACAAACGTTTGAGAGTCATCCAAGCTGAAGTGAACCGGTTCTGGAGAAAGGGGAGTCAATTGGCTGGACCTGACCTATTTGGGAGGAGTGGTGGCACACAAAACAGTGTGGCTATAGGAGACATCGTCTGGCTAGCTGACCAGAATGCATTAAGGGGTCAGTATAGGCTTGCCTGACAGGTTGTGTTTCCAGGGAGGAACACCTTAAAGGTACACCTCTGAGAGCACATGCAAGTGGAAAAGTTTGGAGAAGGTCTCTTCACTGACAAACAAAGGACTTTCACACATTCAGCTCAAATTCAAGCCTGAAAACGTATCTGGTATGAACATTGTTAACCACTCCAATTATGTTAATGTAAAATATAAATTTTGAAGTCGTAAAATTTCAGTATTGTGTTTAAATTATGTGAATTGTAATCGTTTGATGGAATTTGCTACAGTACTGATTGATGCTAAGTTTTATATGATTTGTGTTGAACTTTAAGAGCAATTACTTATGTTTGAAAGGTGAGCTTGAAGTTTGTCAACATTATAGTTTATTGTCAAGGCATGAAACAAATTTTTCTGATTTGATTTAGTCTGATGTGTGTGAGAGAGTTTATATAATATGTTAATTATATAATTGTTGTTGTATCTACCTTTTTAAAGGTTATCAACCTATCACAACTACTGTACTGCTGCTTCTACTATTTCTTCTGCCAATACCTCTGCAAACAGAAGTAAAATAAAAACAGTAAAGCTCGATGAGTTGTCCGATTAAGTACTTCAGACTTTGAAAGCCATTTTCAAGTTTGGGCAGAGCTTAAACGAAAAAAGTTGGAAAACTTGACAATATGCATTAACAATAATACAAGCAGAATGAAGAATGTGACTCTTTTTTTCAGGGTGAATCTGTATGACTATCGGGCCATCTGTAGGGTGTACACGCAGACCAGTGATATAGCACACACACTCTTACACGTGAGTACTATACAAAGCCATTACATCTGTGATTTTGCATGTTTCTCATTCCAGTTTCTTCTGATCCAATATTTTTATCTGGTTTCTTATGTATTTTTGCAAAAGCAGAACACTAAAAGGTAATTCCGTGTCAACTCAACCAGAGGTCCCCGGCTCAATTTTTTGATTTTGCTAATATTTTTTTCTGAAGAAAGTTAAACATGTATAGTGATGGAAGCCAAAATATTAAATGTCATGGATGAATATTTATCCACTATTTTGTAGAGGGGGTCAAAATGGCCATTTTCACCTGAAATTCAGAGCCAAATTACAGGGGGTTAAAAATGACTTCAGAAAGATGGCAGCATCATGATGTTTTTTTTTTTCTTTTTCTTTTCACAGAGATTGGTAGGTCCGTTAGTAAAATCTGTTGACTTTAGCAAACTTTGTTGCATTATGTGCCAGTGGTGTCTATTCAAAAATGGGGAAAGAGCGCTTTTCAAGTTTGCAGGCCTGTAACTCAAAGCATTAAAGAAATCTTAATGTCCTTTTAGATATTGGTTCTTAACAAACTTCCCTTTTGGCATCTTCATTAAGGCCCTATATGTCTCAGTTCCAGAGATAACGGAATTTCAATATGCCTCCAGGAGTAATTTGTTAAACTGTACACATTTTCAGGGAATGACCCCAAACATCTTTTCTTATCATGCCCCCTCATTAAAGTCCTTGATACACACATGCTTGTAGTATCAGCAGCTTATCCACGGACA